GTTTTGGTGGTTGTGGAGCGGTCGAAGTGAACGTTATTATAGGTGCCGGCATGCATTCGGTAGTATCTTGTTTCGCTGCAAATAACAGTAATCTTGCAGTTGTGGAAGTATTTATACGGATGCTATGACCGTGGATGCGCACGTAACATGAAGACGCTGCGGGCAAATAGGGGGGGTGTGGGTAAAGTGAGGGATACCATTTTGGGGGTCCCTATAATAAGCACTATGATATTTTAGGGTCTATATTGGGGGTTCCCTTTTTTGGGAAACTACCAAGTCACTTGCATGTAACGTTGTGCGGTATCCAGTCTGGGCTCATGGTAGGCCCTGGCGTGCGATCTGAAGACTAATGCCTCCCCTGCACACTCCCCCCCCAACTATCGTCCTAAACCCTAAACCCCAAAAGGAGCCCTACAGATTTCCTTTCCATGTCTCTTAGCCCAATTTACCCTAGAAAGAGAAGCAGGATCCTCTGTACACAAATATAAGGAATCCCATACCCCAAGAAGTATAATAAAGGATCCAAGACCCTATATATCCCTATAACAATGATATCCCTACATAATCCCTATATCCCCCTATCAAGGATCCTAACATTGATCCAGGCGGAGGGCTACGTTTTGACGAGGCGCACATCGAGCGCCAGCGCCTGCGTGATGACGCGCGGCGACGCGTCGTGGACTTGCGGCAGGAAGAGGAAGCGACTTTGCTTCCTGAAAGGTTCAGGGTTTTGGGGGTTTGGGGTTTAGGGTTTAGAGGTTTAGGGTTGAGGCGTTCAGGGTTTAGGGGCTTAGGGTTTAGTCGTTTTCTTGTTCTTACTCACTCACTCACTGCTATTATTGCTCGCGTTATTATTTGTGGTTCTCGTGTAGGATGTTATTGTGGCTTTTCATGTGGCTACAATTATTACCCACCTCAATATAGACCCAAAATACAATGCTGCTTATTCTAGGGACCCCCAAAAAAGGTACCCACTTTTGCGAGACCTCTAAACCCTAAACCCCTAAACTCCGCATGTCGCTTATAATCACCTTTGAAGGTACCTATAATTTCCTCAGCTGAGCTCCCATTACAAGAATACCGCGCAGTCTAGGGCTTCACCGATGGCGCAGGTCGATCCAGCACGCTCGCCTGCCTTCCCACAGCCAGGAGTATGGTAGCACCCACGAGAGGCCAGGTACCTGGAGAAGTTCTCCTTGGTACCCTAACCCTAGCCGAAGCTCTTGGGGCGGGGCTGGTTTTTTCCATGGTGGACGCTGGGGGGGTCTGGGGGTCCAGGGTCTCAGGTTATTGCATGTTACAATATACCCACATCATGTGCGGCCGGTGCACATGGACCTATGATTTGCATCCCCCAATCACACCCTGCTGTCTTGAGTGAAGCCAGGCGTCACATAGGAGAAAAACTCATCCTGGTTCAAGAAGGTCGTCTGGGTAATTAAGCCTCAAGTGACTTTTCGGGTTTAACATGCACGTGCAAGGTAAAGCAGAAACCAATGCAAGTGAGATGAGCAAGGGACGAAGCAACTAGCTAGTGGAACCCCTGGCACCTGCCATCAACGACCCCTCCGAAAGATTCACAATACATAAACTCCTCTCCCCTCCCCCCCCGAAGTAAATATCCCCCCAATAGTCAATGGCAGTGTATTGCGTGTATCTATTATGGGGGCGGTGGGGGGGGGTTAGGGGTGATCTACTGCACAGTCATAGCCATGCGCGTGAGCACCCTGAAAGTTATCAAACAGAAGCTGGATGTTTGGAGTTCAGGGCTACATCAGCTCAATCCTAGCTATGGGTACCGCCTATATAATCCTGAAATAACCCCATAGGTACCACACAGTGTCCCGCACGGGACGTCATGGTTTTGACAACTGCCCACAGGCCTGGCGACAAGCTACTGTTAGCATGCCTCTGGTGAGCAGGGGATGAAGGCATAGAAAAGAAAATGGAACCTCTTATATTATTCGGGATTCTATAGGTTTTTTTCAGTTAAAGATAATCTAAGACTTTCAACTGAAAAATGACCCGCAAAAATGGAACCTCTTGTGTTTTCGGGATTGTATACGGACTACTATCACAAACAATGCCGTCATTCCTTGCTAGCTTGAGGTAGGTAGTCCTGCTCATTACCACTGCCCACCCAAGTCAATCAGGCCCTGAACCCACTAAGCCACCCTAGACCCTAAACAACCCCAAGCGCTCTAAAGTGCGTAAACTGTCAAAGAAGCCATTGCAGCTGGCAGGTATGCTGCATGCTTTGGTGCCTGTCAGGCCGGTGTAGACTTGCGTGTAGGGGTTTTGGGGGCTTTGGGGGTTTAGGTGTCCTAAGCCCTAAACCCTAGAACCTAACCCCTCAGCACTGCGTTTTGTGTCTGGATTTTTCGCGAGATTCAGGCCTGCCGATTATGTGGGGGAAGCCTTTGCCATGCAGAACTGGCAAGAAACCGCATGGCTGTTGACTGACTGAAATCTTGCAGGGCCTCCCAACAGTATGGGCTTCAGCTGGGGGATGCCCATAGTTAAAGGTTCCGACTACTTCCGCGCATAAAACCCAAAACCCTAAAGCACTATCCTTATTCCTGTGAAGAATACAAATGCGTCTTCCACAAGGAAGGTCAGCAAGCGAAACCCAGCTCTGCACGATGAGTTTTGAAGTTCTGGAGTAACCCAGATTCTAAGTTGGGGTTTAGCTTTGAGGGTTTAGGGTATAAGGGGGAAGCCGCAAGCAGAGACCTCAATATACTGTAACCCTTGTCGCAGGGACACCCGAAAAGGAGTCCTTAATTTGAGAATAAAACTCCTTCGAGGTGATACAATAGACTTGTCTGTGCTAGTACACATATAAGATGGCTTATCAGCCCAGGGCTGTGTTTGATGAAGCTTGCCCTGCTTTTTCTGGAATTGGCCACGCGTGTCGCAGAGCAGCAACTCATGAACGACTTTGATCAAGAGCTGCTGACTTGCGGAGCTTCTCCATCCAGCAGCGTCTCGGGCCTTCTCTGGCAAGACTTCCTTTGGGAGGCCAGGAAGAGAAGCATAACAAAAGTCATGATGACTGTGTCGGAGCGGAAAAGAATCAAACCTCCATTGGGAAGATCCATCACCCATCCGCCAAGTACAGCACCTGCTGCTGACCCACATGCTGTGACAGAAGACATGAAGCCTTGCGCGGTGGATATCATATGCATGGGCACGTGCTCGTTCAAGTAATGCACCGTCGCGAGAGTGAAGCAGCTGTACGTGACACCATGCAAGGGCTCGAGCAGGAGTAGCCAAGCTGCACTGGGGACTAACGTGTAGCCCAGCACGCGTACGACGAAACTTCCCATGGCTATAGCAATGAGAATTGTTGGCCCCAGCTTCGGGACGACCTTCTCACTGACAGCGAAAATTGGGATCTCAAAGAGGACCGTGACAGTAACACTGAATCCCATGAGGATGTCGGTCGAATGGAAGCGCTGTTGCATGTACAGGAAAAGGAACTGAAACACGTGTTGCATACCCATGGCCTGGCAAGCACTGGAAGAGGAATAGCAAGGATGACAGCAGAAAGAACGTGAATATCATAATACAAATCCCACCCATGCAGTCTGCAGCACGCAGTCCAGGCAACAAGCATACTCATATTCCTAGACCCTTAGCCCAAGCCCCTAAGTGCCTGAGTTGCGGCACAAAGGAGCCATGTGATCATCTCTGGCTTGAAGAAAATGATACGAATCAGGGCCCGCAAGGAGGCTTGTTCCCTTGGCTGGGGCTGCACCTCATCCTCCTTGGCTCGAAAACCGAAACCCTAAAGCGCATTTACTTGGGGGGATTTCCAGGAGCTCCAGGCCCTGCAGCTACAGCAACTAAAGCACCCTCCAAATGTCACCGATTACTATTCAAAGGAGTCTCGCCAGCAAAGACCAACACTGGGCACTCAGACATATCAAGAGGTCCTGGAGCCGAACCACCCTAAACCCCAAGCCCCAAACTCGTATGGCGTGCACCAAATTCGTATAAAATCCTTGCCATGCGCCCGGCTTCCTGCGCGGCATCTCCCGAACAGCTCCCGGAAGTTTCCTGCCTGCGCACGCCCTCGTCCGTCCAGCGCGACTGAAGCAGCAAGGAGAAGCAGGCCACGGCCAAAAATGCACTTAGAGCGTTTCCGACAAAGAGCAGTTGCCTGGGTTGCTATTAAACAAGTTAATTAATGGGTGAATATGGAACCCATATCGTTTGTATTGTGCATATATTCATATGTATGTATATATCTATCCGTGCTTACTGACTTATTTTAGGCTCCTTAACAGCAAACCAGTTGCAGCTGCCCATGCTCCACGTCCAATAGCCACCCCAGAACTGGATGAGCAATGCCCCAAGACACCGCACCCCACAGCCGAAGATTCCCATAGGCACCCTGACGGTTGAATCTTTCCAAGGCTCTCCTTGACTGGGAGTGTCTTCAAACAGGGTTTAGGGCAGGGCCCTTGTTAGGCATTACTCTGAGAAGTACCTTACACTTCCTAGATTCAGTGCATGGGTTTGGGTACGCGTGGCTGCCGAACCACCTAGGTTGCTGAGACCAGGAAGATTTGCTAGAGTGTCGCACTGGCAGGGCCCAGAGCAAGGTTACTCTTTCATGGGATCCCACGACAGCCATGCTCCCCTAATTCCGCGTATCAGCCCAAAATGCTGAGATTGGCTTCACAACCATTACATGGCTCGAAAAAATAGGACCTTTACAGATATTTTGAAGCAAGCACAAATACATGACCGGCACGCTCAGTTTCTCCAATCTCTACCTCTCTCGCTCTGGCTCGTGTCTGCTGTATAGTTGAAAACCTACTCCAACTATCAAGTCACTAGCATGAGATCCTAATCCCGAGATCCCTCTGCCCTAGATTCCAGAAGTGCAATCTTAATGTTCAACGGTCTTCAAGAGTGTCCGAGGTCTTCTTATCAACTATTTAGGTGTATATGAGTCCGAAATAGGTTCGGTGTGAAAAGAATCCACCTATTACCGTACTTATGATCGATCACCTCAGTAGGTTTACAACTGGCTTGCATGTCCACTTATACCTACCCTCGAACTCCAGATAAGTCCTATAACCTTTGCTGTGGGTCATGGTGATACCTCGGAGCTGGCCATAGTCGTTGCCCCTGGCGGCTGTGTAGCAGACCATCATGGTACAGCAGTAGGCGAAGCGGTAGGTATGGTCCTCCTGCGACATGCTTGGAACATTCCGGAAATGCAAAGTTTCTTTCCTTAAAGTTGGTTGGCTAGCAAATCGGACCGCCAAAAACTGCTAAGAGCGATCAAGTCTCGATGTACGGGGCCAAGCAAAGTAAGGTCTGGAATGTTGTGGCCTTGGTCGATCTGATGGTACCAATCAGACCTCGAAAGCCCAACTCTCCACTAACTAGTTCTCCAACATGGTCATTTCCAAAAGGTAGGGGGCCCTCTTGCATGCTCAAGAATACTAGAACCCTGTCTGTATGTACATGGCAAACAGGACCCTTAACTGCTGCAAAACTCCTTTGCGGCTTCTGACCCTTCCTGGAAACAATTGACCAGTAAGGGGCAAGCATGCTGCATGCTGCAGGCATCGGGCGGCTGCTCAAGAGAAGGTGCCCTCAAGTAATCGAAGGGTACTTAAGGAATAGAACAGAGCCGGGCTACAGGCTAGCCTAAATTCTAACTCTACACCCTAACTTACTGGGGGTTAGTAGGTAGTAGGGAGCAAGGGAATAGATTTTTGAGGGATCATATTCCCTCATTCCCTACTTACCACCAGAAAGCTAAACTCCAATTCCTAAACCCTTCATTCAGTCTAGCGGCCATTCCCAGGCAGAATGCCAAGACCAGCTTTCTTCGGCCTGTGCGGTCTGCCACGACTCCTAGGTGGGTTTGGGTTAGGACATGGGGGTGCAGTTAATACGAATGATGGAGAATCAAATGGACAAGGGTATCGAAAATTACGTGGAAACTGGGTAGGGACAGGATTAGGATGAGGGTTTCGAGATTTGTGTTTTAGGGTACAGGTTTACGTGCGTCGCGCTTGGGCTTTGAGCTTAGGGTTGGCTTTAAGGCTTAGGATGGGATGAGGGCTTAGGGATTCGGATTGAGGGATGAACATGTTTTTTTGGTAAGGTTTAGGAATTATGCTCTTTTGCAATTTGGGACGCCAGGTATATCTGACAGCTTCCCTAAATGAGGGACGCGACCCCAATATAGACCCCAAAATACCAAAATCCCTATTGCGGGGACCTCCAAAAACGTACCCCTAACTTTGGGACCCCTAACTTTGGGAACCCCTCATAAAACAATGCAATCGAAGTGGTGGGGAGCCCGAGGGATATCAGGGTTTAGAGTTTTGATCATGTTGAGAGACTGCCTTAATCACATGCAGGAGATGGGTATAGAATCCGAATGTACATTTGACGTGGGTGAACACTCAGAAGACGCCAGGACCTAAACCCTAAACCCTAAACCCTGAACCCCTAAACCCCTACACCCTAAACCCCAAACCCTAAACCCCTACACTCTAAGCCCCGAAACCTTAACCCCTAAATCTTAAACGCTGAATAGTCATCCAGGCTCCCCAAAACGAAGAGGCTGGGATGCTGGCAAGGATGCTCAGAAGTCCGATGGCCCCAATTTCCTGGGTTGCTGTTCGGGGAACTTAGTTTGAGAGTTTAGGACTTAGGGTTCGGGATGCAGGGTTCAGGGCTTAAGGAACTTAAATTCGATTACTGTAACAAGGAAACCCTTGAAGTTACAATTTATCTACTATATAGCCTTATTATCGTGTTTTGTCAAGTTCCCTAACAGCAGCCCAGTTTCCCGACCATCCAGTCCGTAGTGCGTGTAGATGAGAACTGCAAAGCGCGCGAAGAAGCTGTAGTACCTGTGATGCCCGGGGGCCTGGTTTAGGCTTGAGCGGTTTAGTTGAAGCTCTCGTCATGAAGTGCGAAGCAAAGAGCACCAATGTGAACCTACATGATTGCTGTCGCTGCTTGTGGCCCGCTGTTTTCTATTAGTGCGACATGGGCTGCTTGAGTACTTCATGCTCGCCAAAGCTTCGGTTGGTAGCTTCCGAAAATTTGGGCTCCGCTTCTGAGAGTCCCTACAACAAGGATGATTGATTATAGCACCTTGGGGTCCCCATATGTACGGAAACTACCAATGTGCATGTGAAATGTTCGTAAACATGTCCAAAAGTCCAAGTCTGAAAGCTTAAAGACACAAGTGAACCTGATTCGAACATGGTCTCTGGGACCC